CAGAAAAGTGGTGCCAGGCGAGCACCCCACAGTGGGGCCCAAGTTGTGGGCAAGTGGCAGTCACGCTGCTTTAAGGCCCAGCCTCTGCCTTCTCCCGCCTCCCTGGCCACTGCATTGCCTGGGTCCTGTGCCCTTTGGCTCCAACATGCTTTCCAGCTTTGCTCCCCAACCCCTCTTGCCAGACCAAGCTCCATGACACTGCCTGTGGGGCACGCCCCTGGCCCCTGCTTGCCTTGCCTTTCCTCCCTGGACTTAGAACATTCTCCCTCCCTTGTGCTTTCACGTGCCCTGCTGTCCCTCCACAGCCATCAGCCCCCCTAGTGGTGGGCTGGAAGGGGCCTGCCCTGGAAATGCAACCCATTTTCTCTGTTGCTTTCTGAGCACACTCTACTCTCCATGTTGCTTTGTTGGCATATTCTCTCCCCGATCTCTGCATCCAGGGACCTTCTTGATACCCGTATGGCGTAGCGTGGCACAGGGCAGTGCCACACAAATTGGTGGTGGAGGACGGCAGCTAAACACTCAGGCACTCACGTCAGTGGGAGGCAGGTTGCCGGGCAGAAAGAGTGTGAGCCTTGCAATAAGGCAGACTCGAGTTTGAAACCTGACAGCTGCCCTGTGAGCTTGGGCAAGCCATTTGCCTTTCTGCTTCTCATTTTTCTCATCCACAAAATGGGCATAATCATTCCCAGCTAGTGGGGTTTTTGAGGATTAGTGGGACTATGCTTAAAAGGGCTTAGAACAGTCCCTGGCAAGTAGTAAGTGCTCAATAAACAGCAGCTGTGATTTTTATTATTATTCACTTCATCTTGAATGGGTCTGTGAGTCAATGGGAAAGTTCTGTGCTGCATCCTGTCCAGACAGATGACCTGTCTGTGTTCCCATGGAGGAGGTGTAAGGTGTGAAGAAAGGAGCCTGGGTGTGGCCGCCTGGGCATGGGGTCTGGCCGGTCCCTGGAGGCAGGTGGGATAGGTTTACCCCCTTAGCTACTCTGTATTCTGTGGTTCCCAACCAGCTCCCTTCCCAGTTTACCCCATGGCAGAACAGCTAAGCCTGGTGCCCACAGGGCTGACTGCCTTGTCTGTTTCTGTGCCCTGCGTCTCAGCCCTGAGTTCTCAGTGAATGTTCAAGCTGGTGTGAGTCTCTGAGTCCTGTGTGTTCCTAGGTAACAAGGATGGAAGAAAAACCATTCAAACAGGCTACAGGTTCTGGTGGCCTATTTGTCCAGGAATAGGGACATTTGGTGCACTGGCAGAGGGCCTTTTGCAGGGCTTAGGAACACCTGGGTTCCCTCCTTGGAGGGCTGTGTGACCAGGCTGTGTTTCCAAAGCTCCTTTCCTCGTGGCTCCCGTTTCAGCTGCCTCTTGCCCTCCCTGGCCTCTGTGCTCTGGTCTTCCTGACATTCTGAAGCCCTGGGTTTGCTGAGCCAAGGCCCAAGAGGCAGTGGTGAAAACAGAAGTCTGGAAGAACAAAGCCCTGAGCCAGAGCAGGCACTAAACGTTATTAGCAGTAGCCTAAACAGGATTGGAACGGGAGCAAAAGAATCGGCAGGGCCTCCTACGGGAGCCAACTTTCCAGGCCTGGAACTTACTTAGATGGTTCCTTGGCTCCACGGGCTGCATCTCTGTTCCTGTTGGTGAAGGCTGGGACTCTGGTCTTTGGCAAGTAGGAAGTCCCTGCAAGTCTCCAATTTCTTCTCCATGGGAGACAAGTCAAATGAAAAGCACTGTCTGTTAAGTGGTAGAGTCAAAGCACTGTGTGGCTTTGGACAAGTCACTTCCCTTCTTTGGGCCTCAGTTGTCCATCTCTTCAAGGAGGCAATGGAACTAGAACCTGACCCCTACATGATCTTGAAGGGCCTTTCCCACTTGGACTATACTTGGGAAGTTTATGGATCAAGTGCATACAAAATCCAGGTACAACAGGGTCAACTGAATTTGTTAAAGGTAAATGAATGGGGGATGAATACTTTAGTAATAGGCCTTTAGGGCTGAAATTCTCAAGTTAGAAGCCATGGTATTAGGAAGCTTAGTTGAAGAGAAGATTCTGATTCCTGTCAGTCTTCTTTCTCCTTTTAGTAATAGGCCTTTAGGGCTGAAATTCTCAAGTTAGAGGCCATGGTATTAGGAAGCTTAGTTGAAGAGAAGATTCTGATTCCTGTCAGTCTTCTTTCTCCTGAACTTTGGTCATGAAAAATGAATTTTGTGGTCCTCTAAATCTGGGGACTGCTGAATGACAGAAAGTACAGTCCATTCCTTTATTGCAGGACTTCTCAGAGCCTTTGGCATGCAGTTGTGCTTTGGGAACTCTCAAGACTGGGATGCAGGAGACAGCTCTTCCCCAATATATCTGGCCACAGTTTCCTGGAGTATCTCCCTGGTGGAAGTGGGAAACAGTACTGAAGAATTGTGAACCCGGAACCTGCCCACGGTGACCTTGAGGAGGAAGTACCTGCCCTCCCTGAGCCTCCATTTTTTTCCATTTGTCAAATTAAACAATGCTGCCTATTATTTCTTTCCAAGGCCCATGAGGCTGCATTTGCTTCAAGTGGGCAGGTCATTCCAGAAGGGTCAGCCCTGCCCTTCTCTCTAGGCAACGCAGGACAGCTTGGCACTCTAACCTTTAGTCATTATCCATGGTGAGCTGAGGGACTGGCCCTGTGAAAATGGCATTCTCACAGCAATGGCAGCAGATTGGAGAGGATGAGGAGGGACAAAGGATTATTCAGGAGCAATCCTGGAAAAAAAATCAGAGCTGGGGAGTTAAGGCTTTGGGAAGACACTTTAAAAAGTTCAGAGTTCTGGGCCGGCCCTGTGGCGCACTCGGGAGAGTGCGGCACTGGGAGCGCAGCGACGCTCCCGCCACGGGTTCAGATCCTATATGGGGATGGCCGGTGTGCTCGCTGGCTGAGCGTGGTGTGGGCGACACCAAACCGAGGGTTGCAATCCCCTTACCGGTCATGAAAAAGACAAAAAAAAAAAAAAAAAAAAAAAAAA